AGTGGGCTGTCCAAGACTGTCTTTTCTAGAGATTTTTATAAAACAAAACCCGGAGAAGAGGCGGGTCCATCCAAGGTAGGGGAAAAATGGGAAATCACAAGGTGGGCATGAGGTGGGACAAAACTATGGTCAGCCAATAAGAATTGTTCAAGTAAAACTGATTAAATCTGGATCAAATGGGAAAGCAAGTCACGTAGCAAGCGGGCATGAATGCAGAACAGGGGCTTTTCCTCTAAGGGGTTGGGTCAGGGACTCTTCAAGGTGATCTCTACCTATTTAGAATATCAGTCCCTGATGTCCATCCCTAGGGAGGTATATGGGTGTATTTGTTTAGATTTTTGTCTTGAGGGCTGGCCTCCAGCAAGTATGTGTCCGCGTGTAAGGTACTTTGTCTTCCATACTGGCCCCTTGGAGGGCCTGGCCCTGTCTGACTGCCTATAATATTTCTATCTAACTCAGCTGCCTATAACATTCCCCCACTCTGAAGAATTAACCTGAACTGCCATGAGGGAGTAACGGGTGATGACCATTCTGGCTTCTTCAGGCTGAAAGGGGTCGTAGTTGTTTATTGGCAGTCAGAGATACTCTTCAGAGAGTCTATCTAAAGACCCTCCATAGACACCAGGCACTTTCATCTTGGGTAGGCATATAGCTTTAAATCTGGAGGAGACAAAGCCAAAGAAACAACTGAGTATGCATGGGCCAAATAATAAGACCAGCAGGATTATTATGAATATTGTCAACAAAGATTTCTACCAAGAGGAGCCGGTAATGGCCTTCCACAGAGAGGAAAAGGTGATAGCTATGAGCTCTGATAGCTGAGCACTAGTTCCAGGCGTAAGTGAGGAACTTTCAAGAGTCCAGTGTAGAGTTACCGCTGCATACCCTGCCTTCCTTGTCCCATTTTCCAGGAAGGAGCTGCCGTCACAGAAAAGGGTCACATCAGGGTTAGTAGGGGTGTGTCTAAGAAGCCTTCCCTAGCTGCACATGTATGGAGAATTAGCTGTTCACAGTCATGCGTGTCAGCCTCAATTTCCTCCTTTTTTGACAAAAGGTAGCGCGGTTCAAGGAGAAACACGTCTTTCATTGGGTGGCTGGTCCGTCTAAAATACAGCCTGGAATTTGAGAAGTCGGCTGTCTGATAGCCAGAGGCGCCCTTTGGAAGAAAGAAGTCTTGTCACACTGTGAGGCAGTGAGATCTTTACCTAAAGTCCCCTCGGATGCCTCTAGCACTAAGAGAGCTACAGCTGCCATAGCTCTAAGGCAAGAAGGCCATCCCTTTGCTACAATGTCTGATTCCTGACTCGGATACCCTTAAAGGCTGTTGAGTGGGTCTCCCATCCTGTGTAAGCACTCCCAAAGCCATACCTCGGCTCTCATCAACATATAAATTGAAACGGTGTCCTGTGGGCAGGCTTAGGACTAGCGCATTTAGGAAGGCTTGTTTCAGCTTCTTGAATGCAGTTTGGCAATCAGGTTCCCAGGTTTAAATATCGATATCTGTCTTTTGGGCATTTTTTAAAAGTTGATAGAGGGGCCTTGCAATTTCCCCATGTTCTGGTATCCAAAGGTGACAAAAGCCTGTAATTCCTAGGAATCCCCTTAGCTGTTTTAGAGTCTTGGGCTGTGAGAAGGCAAGAATTGGTTTAATTCTGTCTTTTCTAGCCTTCGGGTTCCCTTGGATATGATGAGGCCTAAATATTTTACCTTAAGACCGCAAAGTTGTGCTTTAGATTTAGAGACCTTATAACCTCGGTCTGCTAGAGAATTTAGCAAAGCACAGGTGCCTTGGCTACAGAGCTCCTCTGAGGGGGCACATAAAAGAATGTCATCTATGTACTGTAAGACTGCCACCTAGGAAAACTCAAAGCATGCCAAGCCATGGAAAAGCACTTGCCCAAAAGAATATGGACTACCCCTCAACCCTTGGCGAAGCACTGTCCATGTCTATTGAGAGGCCTGATCATGAGGATCTTCAAAAGCAAAGAGAAACTGGAAAAGAAAAAAAAAGACAAACTGGGAAGCTGTATGTAAAGGGATACAAAAGAAAGCATCTTTTAAATCTAACACTGAAAACCACCTGGCGTATTCTGAAATCTGAGAAAGGAGTGCGTACGGGTTAGGTACCATTGGGTGAATTGGCGTCACTGCCTCCTTTATCAATCTGAGATCCAGTACTAATCTCCATTCCCCATTGGGTTTCTGAATTCCCAAAATTGGAGTGCTGCATGGGCTGTTACAGGGCTCATGTACGCCTGTGCCCTTAGTTTTATTACAGGTAGTAATCTTCTCTTAATTTCAGGTTTTAAAGGATATGGTCTCTGGTTAAGAAATATAGTAAAAGCCAGGTGTGGTGTTGCACACCTGTAATCCCAGCACTCGGGAGGCTGAGGCAGGAGGATCTTTGCGAATTCAAGACCAGCCTGGGCTACAAAGTGAGCTCAAGGCCAGACTGAGCTGCATATCGAGATCCTGTCTCAAAAAGACCAAAAAGAAAAAAAAAAAGAAATATAGTACAATCTCTGAGATGTGTCTGCACTGGAGCAACTCAGGATTTATTTCTGTGTCCATGAGGGGAACACAGTATACTCGATGTGGGTGCATATACATTATAGTACTTAAACAAGATAAAATATCTCTCCCCAAGAGAGGGACTGGACTTTCAGGCATTATCAAAAAGGAATGCATAAAAAGAAAACCATCCCAGTTACAGCCTAAGGATTGTGAAAAATAGCGAATTACCCCCTTTCCCGTGACTCCTTTCACAGATGTATCATGGCTGGAAGGAAGGCCAGGATTGAAAAGAAGAACCGAGAGACTTGGGTCAGTGTCCAGCAATAGGCTGATTTCTTTTTCCTCTGCAGTCATGATTACCCAGGGGTCCTCCGGGGAGATGACAGTCCTTTCAGAGTGAGGGGTAGAGAGTGCCCCGGGGCCCTTCATTCTTGCTGGACCAACTGGTAGGATGGGTCTAAACTCTGGGGTCTTTGCTTCAAAGGGCAGTCCAACCTCCAGTGGTCACCTCTGCAGTTAGGACATGGCCCAGGGAGCTTCCTACGGCAGTCCCTCTTAAGGTGGCCTGGCTTCGGACAGCAATAGCAGATAAATGTAGTCATTCAGCTCTTCTTGGAGCTCTGAGAATCAAACTTAGGGTCTGTTTCTTAGTCTCCTTCAAAGGCAGCTGCTTTTTCTGTCTCTTTGTTATACAACACCGAGGAGGCGATTTTCACTAACATATAAAGTGAACTGTCTGGAGCAAATGCCATCTTTTGCAGCTTTTTTCTAATATCTGGGGCTGACAGCGTGATGAACTTATCTTTAAGAATAATTTGTCCTACTGAATTAGGATCTAGGGAAGTGTGCTTTCTCAATGCCTCTTGTAAGTGATCTAAGTGGGGGGGGTGTTCCTTTTCTTTCCTTGTTGCACTGCTGACAGTTTTAAAATAATGGCTTAGTTCTTATCCTTCTTAGACCTTCAAGAGCACATGACTGAAATGTCTCCTATTCCAGTCTACCGTATATTTGCTAGGCCAGTAGGGGTTGGGTAGGGGCTGCTTGAGCTCCAGGGGGAACTGGTAGTTCCCCGGGCTGTCTATCTGCTGGCCTTCTAAAATTAATACGGTATTCATCTCTAAATGCAGTAGCAGCCTATAATGCTCCTGTTCCTCATTAGAGGTCAGTGTTTAAGAGTAACATTACATGTTTCCAATCTAGCGCAGAGGTTTGAGCAAGGCCTCTATTAAATATCCCATTGTACTTATCAAGGTCATCTATAAATTTTCCAAGATCTGTTTTAAGTCACTGAGAGAAAAAGGCACAGGAACCCTGACAGTTCCAAATTGTACGTTTACTTCTTGTAAAGGCTATTGTCCTTGAGGAGCTTGTATGAACTCAGCTAAGGATGGGTATAGCCTTGTAGAGGCCTGGGTTACAGCTGGTCTAGAAGCCCCATCCTCTAGTCTGAAGAGCAAGTAGGGGATATCTTAAGGTTCAGTAATGGTGGGTGAGGCTTTGATGAAGGCTGTCTTGTCCTCAGGTTCCAGGATAGTGTATGCTTTAAGAGGCTGAGGTGTCTGGTTTTCCTGTGGCTCACATCTACATTTCAACTAAATCAGGACTGGGGGCTGGGGATTTAGCTCAGCTGCAAAGTGCCTGCCTGGCAAGCACAGGGTCGTGAGTTCGATTCCTGGTACCAGAAGGAAAAAAAAAAGAACTAAGACTATTTCTTAATGCAAAGAGAATTTGAACATAAGGCATTTCCCTTTTTACAGTATCTTTCTAGTTGTAAAGTAGCATAATTATTACCTCTCTCTGCATTCTATTTTGTCTCTAGGGGGTAGGTAGGCCACACACATGGGCAGAATATTAAAGAGCTCTTTTTCAACTGTAAGGATCAAATATCTTCCACTGCTTAATGATGCACTTTAAAGGAGTAAGAGATGACTCCTGAATTTCCTGTCTGCATCCCAAGGATCTCTGGGCCTCCAAAATGATATAAGGGAAAAAACTTCCAACCTGAATCTGGGATGAGTTCATGTTCTCTAAAATCAAAGAATTTTAGGAATAAGGAAGGTTAAGGGAAGAATTTGAGGCAAAGAAAGCTTCTGTCCAAGAAAGGGACAGAAGGAGGCCTGAGCAGGTTGCCGCCATGGTTTTATTTTGAAAATTGTGCTTCAGAGAAATCATACACATGCAGCGATATAGAAACAGTCAAACTTTATTTTCAGAAACGATTTTTAAGTCTTAAATAGTATAAAAATAGACGTTTGTTTCAAGACATATTTGACATAAGTACACATTTGTTTGAGGCACTGAGACATTCACATATATAACCTGAATTTCCAGCAGTCAGCAGGTTGATGTTAGTAATAATTGCTTTCTTTTTGTCCAGAAATAAAATAAAGCCAGGCATGGTGGCTCACGCCTATAATCCCAGCACGCAGGAAGCTGAGGTGGGTGGACTGCCAAGAGTTAAGTCCAGCCTGGGCTACATAGTGAATTCAAAAGCAGCCTGAACTACGTAGTAAGACTATCTCCAAAAAAACTCAAACAAAAAACAGAGTGAACTGTTTTTTTCATAGCTTTTGTAATATTGACTATTTAACTTTAAATCTTTCATAAAATCTTAAAGTATTTTCCTGAGTCATTTCTCTTTAGTAATTACCTTTTCTACTAAGAGACATTCAGTTATTTACACAAATATTGATGTTATCTGTGGTCAGTACTCAATTCAAGAGGATTATTCTTAATAAATGAACAAAAAGTCAGTCTTTATGGCATACTCAGGTTAGACAATGTCCTACGTGTAACATAGGTAAATCCTAAAGACATCAGTTCTAACAATCAATATACCACAATCAGTTTCCTAAAACTTTGTGAATAAATCTTAAATCATTTCTTTTGATCTTACACAATTCAGAGAGGTAATCATGAAAAAGATATATTGATTCTGGCATAATAAAATGATTTAAGGCTTAAATATTAATAATGTCCTACTAAAACATAAATAATAACACTCAATAAATTATAGTAATGTACAGTACCATAAATTGTCAGCTGACAATGAGATGCAAAAAACTATTACTTTGCTTTTATTATTGCTCAGGACTACTCAGTAATTGTTTGCTTCTATTTTCAAATAAGAGGCAGGGTGTTCATTAGAACCGGAATGACTTTCTCCCTGGCCAAAATATTCTACAGTTGTTCTAAGGTACCAGCCTCTTTGTAGGGTCCTTGATTATAGTTGAAGTTATAAAGATAAAATTCTCTCCCTTGATTTAAAATAGGTGAATTTTTAAAAAGGGACTTTGTTTTCTTTCATTCTTCCTAAGGAGCTGAACAGTAGTCCTGAGCTGAGGTTTGCCTGAAAATGTGCAAAAGTTCAAGTACGAAAATATTAAGACTTCAAAGACTGAGCAGTTCTGATCTTAAAAATCAGGATTTCTTCTAACAAAATGGCTACTAGAAAAAGCAGCATGAAGGTAGTCTGGTTTTATTTCAAAAGCAATATTTAATTGACTTTAGATAAAATATAAGAAATGGATTTAAGCATTTTGAAGAGACTTTTTATAAGGCCATTGCTACATACTCTTTGCACTGTGATATGGACATTAATTCATACTGTTTATAAGAAAATCTATGAGAATGAAATATCCAAGTGCATCTCAGCAATTCATTGACTTTTTGGGGGATGGGAGTCTACTATGTAGTCCAGAATGTCCTCGGACTCGTGGCGATCCTCCCACCTCAGCCTCTCAAATGCTAGGATTACAAGCACGTGCCACTATGCCTGGCAGTTCATTGACTACACAGCAAAATCTGCCAAGTGCCAGACCTAAGGCACACGAGGCTATCATAGTCTCTTTCAAGTCTTTAAACCCAAATCTGAACTTGGATTTCTTCAGTTTTTAATTTAATATAGGATCTTTTGCCTTTATAGATTTTACTTCTCAGTAGTCACGTGATATAAAATATTCTGCAAATTTCGTTTCAAGGCTGCTTTAAAAAAATACAAAACGATTGGCAGTGTAGGCTTTAAACATTCATTACCATCAAATGTCCAACATTTCTTTAAAAAATTCCAGCCTTGGCTGTTTCTAAGGCATTGGACATAACAAGTAGAAATGTGCAGCATTGTGCTGTGGAGTCACAGCAGTAAAGTGTTCAGACATCTTTGCTTTCATTGTATTATAATATAAATTGAAATTCAAGTAAAAAGATGTCAAAACTCATTTCATTGGTTTATACAAAAGATTGAAAACTATTTTCTACTTCAGTTTGAAACATACTCCTTTAAAGTAGTGTCACAAGAGACTTTACAAGTATGACCCTTTTCATGGCAACACATGTACTACCTTCTGTTACGGAAGATGTTTAAGTAACATAAGGCACTTCATATAAATATTAAATAAGTTAAAAAATGGTTCTTATAAATAAATAAATATGCTTGACTGCCTCCTACAGCTCAGTTGAACGGCCTTTTAGCAGGACGGCGCGATTGAGGTCTTCCAGCCTGGAGGGGGAAGCGCTCGAGTTAATGGTAACCGTTTTGGCGAGCTGTGGATCTGGGACACTGAACGCAGTGTAAGGACAGCCCTTCACGTTGTTGCAGATGAGAGACTGAATGGAGGCGGTGTTGATGATCTCAAAACCCACGTCTCCGCCAAAAGTACTCGGCTTCCAGTAATGCGGCGAACATATGGGGTTACCCATGAGTCCTTTCAAGGAGAAGGGCGCGCCCATCTCCACCATGGTCTCACCGAAGATGGCGTCTGGGCGAGGCTTTTCCACCAGAAGGCCGGGATACAGCTCCACAGCATCAATGTCACCATAGAGGGCTTCCAGCTCTGCAGCCATTTCCTTCTCTCCTGGAAAGGTGGAGACAGAAACACAACCAATGTCAAACGTTACAAGAGAACATATTCCTATTTCCTCCCTTAACTTGCTTTCTACTCCTTTGTCAGCATTCGACCCTTGATGCCTTCAGAAGTATATAGAAGCTGACTCTCACCTGTAAGGTCCTCAAATGATGTGTAGGCCCTCATCGAGAAGCGCTTGCGGTACTCATTCATAGACCGGTATTTCATCTTTCTGCTGTGCTCAATTGACGCCTTTGCGACCTTTTGCACTCCAAGTGGGACATTCCTACCACCAGCGACCTGTGGAAAATCAAAGTTTAAAGCAAAGTTGTTAGGCATATTTACTCTTTTTAATATCATTCTCTACATACAAAAAAGATGAGAGACCTAAACTCTTTGTACCATGGGCAGATTGTTTACATATATTTCAACAGATGTACTTAAGATTCAATGTGTGCTGGGGACATAGCTTAGTGGTACAAGAGCCTGCCTGGCAAGTGCAAGGTACTGAGTTCGATTCCCAGTACCAAAAAAAAAAAAAAAAGATTCAATGGGACACTGATCTAGAAACAATTTTGTCTTTTAAAATTATAAAACGTCAAAGTGATCTTCAATTCTGAAATTAAGTATTTCTATTACGTGTTATTTCTACAATAAGAGTATATATATCTTCCGAAAATACCTCCTTTCAAGCAATGTATCTATCGTTATTTGCTTGACAACTATAAACCCAAACATTAAGACTTTTGAAAAAAACTTTTAGGCTTCTTGTTTTAAGAAATTAACTAAGCAGGGGGCTGGGGATTTAGCTCAGCGGCAAAAGCGCCTGCCTGGCAAGCGCAAAGTCGTGAGTTCGGTTCCCGGTAACGGAGAAAAAAAAAAAAATTAACTAAGCAAAGTAATGGATTATAAGAAAAATAACTTCTGTAGTAGGAATTCTGAGTGACCCGATTTCTGATTTACCATTCAGCAATAATCCTTACCCTGCCAGCAATTTGCTTGGTGAACGATTCCACAAATGTGGTAAGTCCATGTTCCACTAATATAGAGTTGTTGTAGAGAAACTGCTGAAAGTTATACTCCTGGTCATCGATCTGAAAGGTGTCAGGCACCAGGGGATGCCAGTGATAGAGTGTGTTAAACTCAGAAGCAATGCGGTTCTGGTACTGGAATTGTTGGTTGAAGAGCAGTTCTGGGTCAAACTTCAGTTTGAAGTGATATCCGCTCAATTGCTGTACATAGTCTTCAATCACGATCTTAATAGTTTCTCCTAGTCACACACAAAAGAGAAATAAAAACTTCAAACTTCCTGATCATAAACTTTCTATCAGTGAAAATTCGCTTGCTGAACCATGACTGTGGAGTCAGTAGCCTATTTTCTTGCTCACAATTCTTCCCGAGTTAGTCAAAACAGGGAAGGTAGAAAATTAGTTTTCTTTAGGGGAGACAGTTTTATTTCTGTTATTTTCTCACCTATCAGTATTAGCCTGGTTGTCTGGAATAAGCGCTCATCGTCCCACTCTGGATGTTCCTGCTTCAGCACGTCGCACACTCTGTTATGCTCCCGCAGCCAGATGGTGGCGTACATCATCAGACCCGGCACCAGGCCAAAGAGCTGCTGGCCTACAGCAAAACGCGCCTGCTCAGGGATGTGGGGCGGGTAGATCATGTCTGCTTGAGTATCCTTAACTGTGGGAGGGTACATCTCTCCATGAATTATCTAAAAAAAAAAAAAAAAAAGTTAAACCACAAAGGTTAAAAATGTTTCATCACTAGATTCTAAAATCTCAGAATAGTCCAGTAAGTTCTAAGTAATTCGCAATTAAAGGGAACATACCTGATATTTCATTTTTCCATCCTTGAAAAGGCGTAGTTTATGCTGTCTATCCAGTGTTTCCCCATAAACGTGGCTTAAGTCCACCTAGAAAGTTATGGAAAATTCTCAGTTTGTATATTCAATAATCTCAGAAAGTGTCTTAATATATTTAATCGTTAAATTATAATGACTCAGCTTTCTCTAAATTTTCAACAAAACAATTTTTATAGCCACAAAATCCTGTTTATCTACCAAAGCTATAAGCCTTTGTGTTTAAATTATTCATATCCCATATAGCCCATAAGTATATCATACTTCACTATAATCTCATGGTATTTCTAAAAAAGGCATTAGAAGCTGGATGTAGGGACAGTCCTTTATTCTAATACTCAGGAAGCTGAGGCAAGAGGATCACAGCAAGTTTGAGGTCAATCTGTGCTACATAGTGAGTGCAAGTCCAGTGTGAACTACATAGTGAGACCATATCTCCAAAAAAAAAACCCCAAAACAAAAAACTACAAAAGTATTAGAAGTATCTTATTGGTTTCAAATTATAGATTGAAGCTATGTTACTGAAATTGAAGCAATAGTGCTGTAAAAATCTCACATTTAAAGCCACATAATCATTGTGCGGAGGTTTTCGAAGCTTTAATGTTTTGCAGTGCTAGAGTTATAAACAAGGAAAAACTACAAATAAACTCTACGCATGCATATATTTCTATGTCTATATTTGTTAAACTAATTACAATGGAAAACCTACTAAGGCTTTTGTAGACGTAATTTAATGAACGTAAATTTTTGGTAGGGCAAAAACTAAATCACTTCACTAGCACTGGCTGTGATTCTGACGTTAACTCTGGCTTACCCCATGGCCCAGGCCTGTGGTGAAAGCTGGCCCTCGTTTCTGATCTGTCTTGAAGAACTGATGGGTGAAGTGCTGGGCAAAGAAAGTGAACATCATATTTGTGCCTTGGGGGTCAGGGATGAACTTCCTTCTCAGAAGAACCTTTTCCAGAACCATGTTTGAATCAGGCAGCTGCTTCTTCCCTGAAAAATAAGACTAAGTTTAAAATCCATCTCTGTTCCAGGAAGCAGGCCACGGCATTCATCACTTCCAGGGTTAATGCGGTCCTGGGGAGGAACCTGATAAATGACAGTACTGTAACAGTGGGGGGGTCACCATCTTATTAAATGGTTATATCTCCTTTATCACTACTTCAAATTTTAATGAGATGCTTTTATGGGATAGTGTTTGTATTTGCATTTATAAATATTCATAAAGGGAAAGAACTATGCTCTTGTTAAATAGTTTAAGGTCAAATTTTCTTCCAGTAGGAGTTTCAACATGGCCAACCGTTTCTTCTCACTCACCTTTCACACCCACGGGGGTGGGGCAGTCATCAGGCACAGGGGGGAGTGCTCGGGTGTAGTAGGAGAGGTTCGAGTAGGATTCCCAGCTTTTGTAGTCATAATCCCCATTGTAAGTTGGCGGACTGTCGACCAGATGTGATCTGGCTGAAATTTGAGGAAAAAAATGGTTTTACTGGTCCTTCTACGCAGCACAAATCATTGAGTATTTTCATTGTAAACTGGTCAGTGGCACAAACATTGAATTTAATTCAACATACTCTCTCAGCCAACCTTGGTAGGGCATGGCTTTAATTTTTAGTTTGGTTAGGCTGAGAAAGGAGGATCAGCCGGGCGCAGCAGCACACGCCTATAATCCCAGCACTCGGGAGGCTGAGGCAGGAGGATCCTTGGGAGTTCGAGACCAGCCTGGGATACAAACTGAGCACAAGGCCAGTCGCAACTGCATAAGGAGACCCTGTCTCAAGACAAAAAGTCATTATCTTGCTGCTTAATCCCACACTGAGTAAATAAAGGTCACTGGGTGGGTGCAGAATCCCAACACCCTGGGAAGCTGAGACAGGAGGACTGTAAATTCTATCAAGATCTTGTCTCAAAAAACAAAGCAACTGGGGATGTGGCTCATAAATGGACCACACTTCCTCCTCAAACTTGGCCATAACACTGATGGTTAGAACTGTGCAGGGTTGTGAATTATGACCATGGGACAGAAGAACTACATAAATTAAGATGAAATGTCATTATTTTTGACCTTTAAAATAGAGGGCATGCTAAAAATGGTATATTAAAATTTGATAAGTTTAGAAATCTTTTTGGAGGCTGAGTGTGGTGGCCCAGGCCTGTAATACAGGACTTAGGAGAGGCCACCCTAGGTTAATGAGTTCAGCACCAACTTGAACTACCTACATAGTGAGACCCTGTCTCAAAAAATTGGAGGAGAAGAAATTTTTCATCTTTTTGAGACAGGGTCTCGCTATGCAGTTCAGGCTGACTTTGAGCTCACTTTGTAGCCCAGGCCCGTCTTGAACTCGCAAGGATCCTCCCGTCTCAGCCTCCCCACTGCTGGAATTATAGGTGTGAGCCACCACGCCCAGCAATATAAGAAACTGAAAACCTTGGAGAAAGCCTTGTACTCACACGTCAGCACGTATCTCATGATGGCATTTCGCAGGAAGGGGATGTTGTTGACAATGTTCCAGACTCCCTTGAAGTGAGTAAGTATGTAGTGCACGGTGTTCGGGGTGGGCTTCAGCAGTAGCTTTATTCTTGTTAGAAATTCAGCTGTAAGAGGGGGGAAAAGTAGTTAATGGGGCTTGTCACAAAGACACATCTCTTGGAATGTTGA